CTGCCTCAGGAGAAAAAAAGTCCCCAAACCTATTTCTAAGTGGACTAGAAAGATGACTTAATAATTCAGAGCCATGATTAAGAGCACTAGCTGTTCTTCCAGAAGACCTGGGTTCAGTTCCTACATGGTGGCTCACACCCATCTGGAACTCCAGTCCCAGGGGCCTGAACGTTCTCCTCTGGCTGCTAATGGTATACAGTCATATTTGCAAGCAAAATGTACCTCATAAACACAAGATAAATAAAAATTTTAAAATTGTTTAAAAATGATTTATACGGCTCTCCAGGACAAGGAAGAAGAGAGCTGGGGGTGGGGGAGCGGGCAGGAGAGCACAGAAGGAAAGGGACAGGAAGAAGCAAAGCATAGGCGGACGTGGAAGTGTCACAGTGAAACGGAGGATTTGTGTAGTTAATAACTGCTAGTTAAACAGTACTAACATTTGAACGGTCACAGTACAATTGGGGATTTTTCCTCCTTTTCAAACTCTTTTCCCTAGGAATTGGTTAGTTTAGGACAAACATTTGTCTAGACCTGGAAAGTGAAGGCCTGCTGTTGACCAGAGCCGTGGACATGCCTGAAGCTGGTTGACTTCTTTTTCACTGCTCTGGCTCTGAACTGAAAGGCCCTTAAACTAGAAGCCATTATAGCGGAAGTGGATGGAAACCCAGTGCGTAGTGGGTAGTACTGTGAGAAGTGTTTGATTACTTATCGCCCCCTAGATGTCTAAGTTTCAGTCACACTGACCAATCAACAGTCCTCAGAATGGACTCACATGTACAGATTAAACTAGAGATCTTATGAAAAGTATAAACACTAACAAAATCAATTTTCAATGTAAAAAGTAAGAGCTTCCAAAGGAAGAAATTAAAGATGAGATTCCTACTTGCCTCATGTGAATGCAGGAGTCCTGTATTTGTGTCTCATTAGACTTCGGGCTTTACCATCGGCCCGAAGTCTACCCTCTTTGCTGCAGGTGACTGGTGAATCAGAATGCAGCTGCTTGGAGCCCTAGAGCAGTCCCAGGCTGGAAAGAAGGGACTTCTGTGTTTGCCAAGGGGAGACGCACAGCAGAAGGCCTTTAAGAAAAGTCACCCCAGGAATGGACAACAGCAAACTGCAAGCCTGGTCCAGCAGAAGGCCAGAGGCAGGCGGCCTAGCACAAAGCATTGTGCTCCCAAGAGACGCCCACCGGAGGAGCCCAAGACCCCACCCCGCCCTGACCGTGTGCTCCTTCTCCCGGGAAGACGGCCTCCGCACAGGGCATGAAGAATGGAAAGACTGAACTGCAGAGGAATTTTACCAAGCCACTACTGAATGGTCCAGCCTTAGTTACACAAGTATCGGAGGACTGAACCTAACAGATACCTCAGGCCCGCCTCTGTCCTCACCTCTTCCCATTCTCTCCCACTGATGACAGTCCAAAACTGTGGGCTCTGATTTATCAACTATTTCTAAAGTTCCTCCTTCAAGTCAGAGACCATAGTATAAACCATAGGTTCTCAACCTGTGGGTCATGACCCCTTTAGGGGTTGAATGACCCTTTCACAGGGGTCACATATCAGATATCCTGCATATCAGATATTTACATTATGATTCATAACAGTAGCAAAATTAACAATTATGAAGTAAAAATGAAATAATTTTGTGGTTGGGGTCACCACAGCATGAGGAACTATATTAGGAAGGTTGAGAACAACTGTTATAAACAAACAAAACACAGCAGAGAAATGAGCATCGCCTCTTACTTTCTAAGAACTTGCAGTTGAAGCGATTTCTTTAATATCCTAAAAGTATGAGTTTAAGAGAGCCTGACTCTGCTGGCGGGGGTGGCGCACACCTTTAATCCCAGCACTCAGGAGGCAGAGACAGGCGGATCTCTGTGAGTTCGAGGCCAGCCTGGACTACAGAGCGAGTTCCAGGACAGGCACCAAAACTACACAGAGAAACCCTGTCTCGAAAAAAGTGTGTGTGTGTGTGTGTGTGTGTGTGTGTGTGTGTGTGTGTGTGTGTGAGAGAGAGAGAGAGAGAGAGAGAGAGAGAGAGAGAGAGAGAGAGAGGAGAAGAGAGCCTAATTCTGACGGCGCTATCTTGTCCGGCCCTATCTCTGAAGGAAGGGGAATGGCAAGACTTCACATAGAAACCTGAGATGTCCCTCAGCCAGGAGCTTTTAAGCCTTGAAGAAGTTGGAGAAAGGCCTCAGAAGAGAGGCCACCTCCCACCTGCCTGCTCTTGCCAGTTCTTTCCAGCCATGTCTTATTAACTTGTGAACTGGAAGCGAGGGACTAACAGAAATGGTGGGGCCGACAGCAGAAATCCCTCCCTTTGGCTTCTCTTCCGCTTTAATGTGAGAATGAATGCTGGGGACTCCTCTCCATGGTCAAGCACCCCCCCTGCCCCCCTGCTCTTATAGAAGACCTGGATTTGCTCCCTACCACCCACATGGCAACTCACAAACCCCTGTGACCCCAGTTCCAAGGGATCAACACCCTCTTTTTACCTCCTTGGGTTCCTACATGCATGGAATGCAAATAAATTCATGTAAGCACATATGAATAATAAGTAGATCTTTAAAAATAGAGTTATGAGAATGTATAATCCTTTAGACAATATGATTTCATTTGTGGCTCACTGAATATTGGCTAGTAAGTTTAAATTCCTAGATCAAAAGAAATATGGAATGGAGCTTAATGTTATAGTCAATCCAGCTATAAACAAATTAAAGATTTTTAAAGCATTTGCATGACTATAGGACCATCAAAATAAAGCAACCATTCACAGACAGAATTAGCTTCCCTGTACACTTACCGCCTGTAAATGACAGGAAGTACAGATGCCTGGGAACTGGTGCACATGAACTTGATACTTGGTGGGGTAGGCTATTGCTTTGTTTGTGAGGAGTTGGAGAGTAAGAACCATGCATGCCTCATCCTTGCACCTCAGTGCCTGCTAATACACACAATGGGTACGAAACATTCTGCAAACTGAGAATCTGGGTGCACTGTTGAAAGCGCTTCACACAGCACTGTAGCGGGGTACCTGAGCTCAAATGCAGTGTTGGGAGGGGAACTTGTTTTTACTCTGAGGTCAGAAACTCCCACAGCTGAGTACTTTGGATAATGGAGGCCCCTTTTCTGTATTTGCACAGCTTGGCCCAGACCAAGCAAGAGTCATTTAAACATAATCTGCATTTAAACATCCTTTCCTTTTGACTTCAACCATGTTTGTGTTTCCTAGGGCACGTCTAAAAGTCTCAAAATATTTACTGTATACTTCCATGCTTTTAAGGGAAAAAAAAAATGCAGTTATGTTCAGCAGGCGGAGCGTTTCCTGGCACACGAAAGGCTGGATGTGAAAACAAGCAGGAGAAAGAGAGTGCAGCTTAGCAGATGGGTCCTTAGAGATGGCTCTAAAGCAGGGCTGTGTTTGCTTACCCAGCTCTTAACCTGTCGCTTCTCAGCACTTACAGTGACCCTGAGATAAATCAGTAACATTTGCACCATTTTTAAGGCTGACACTAATTTTTTTCCTGTTTTGTCTATTGCTGTGGCCAATGAAATTAGATCATAGTCATGTGAAAAGCTAGTTGTGTGAGAAAAATGTTGGATGAGCGTGACTGTTTTCAGGAAGATTTTGTTTCTATTAATGTGGGCTTGAAACTAATTCACTGAGCCTATGTAATTTAGAATATTAATGTCTCTCCCAAAGAACTGACGAACCAGATTCAAAGGGAATGTATGTTTCTGCTTGCTCTTCTAAGATGATTACAGCAATTAGTTTAAAAATATGTTTATCGTGCACACCATCACTTTTTGGACATGCTCTTAGTTATGGAGACCAGTAGAAGATCAGTCTTGACTCTCACAGTCCTCCAAGACATCAAGAGATCAGATGCTGACCCATGTAGCATTGCATACTGGCCCCTCAGTTCCCTTAAGGAAAAAGTTGCTTGTGACTGCTGGACTGTGGTGTTTCCTAAGAAACATTTTGCTATTTATACCGGTATGTAGATGTTTCGGGTTTATACAATTTCTATTGCTCCAACACCCTAGAAATGTTAGAACCATGGCGAGTACAAATTTTACAAATGGCTGACACTTATTTACATTTCTGGAAAATGTTTTATGTTATTCCATTTCTTCTTTAAATAGCTGAGTATCTTTATCTTTATTGATTAAGACTTTTAATAACAGAGATTCTTCCTTGCAAATAAAATTTTAAATACCAAGAAACACAAAGGACAATTTAAGGTACGTTACTGTCTAAATGAAAACGTCAGAGTCTTGGTTTTGGAGAGCAGTCATTTAGTAGCAGGTGTGGAAATCCTGATGAGAAAAGAGTGTAGTGAACAGAATACAAACAAAAACCTGTCCCTTCTTGTGACGGAAGCAGAGTAATTTTCAGGAGTTTGAGTATGTTACTGAGGAATTTAAAGGGCTAACAGCTTTTGAAGAATGCACAAGATAGCTTTGTTGCTCTTGTGTAACATTTGTGGAGAAGCGTGGAATGCTAAATCTTAAGCAGTCCACAAAGTCCCTATGCAATGATTTGGTTCCAAGTAAGATAAGTAGGTGAGATGCACACAGGCTGTCAAGTGGCAGTTATTTGGCTCTTTCCAGACACACACAAAGTGAGTGGAATACCTCAATCAGCTAAATACACATTAAAGGAGATGAATAAAAATGGTTGCTTTTTAAAGGACAAGATGAATACAGCTCAATAATACATTTCATGTGTTGGGTAAGCTACATTCAGAGTTACTTAATATATTAAGAAAAAAAACAACTAGGGAGAGCCCAGTCTTTCTAAGCAGCATTGATAAGTGTTTTGTGACTTGGAATCTGCAGTGACCTCTTGCCTGACTGCTGGCATTCAGTCACTCCTAGATTTGGGTAAGATTGGAGCCTCCTGAAGATGATCAGCTAGACTTAGTGCTGTCTTTATGCTCCAGCTGTTCTGGCCAGACTTCCTTTGACATACTAACGTGTTTTTCCTTTTTATAGGGTCTTTATGTTTTTGTGGTTTATTTCATTTTACACAACCAAACGTGTTGCCCTGTGAAGGCCAGCTACACAGTAGAAGGGAACGGTCACCCAGGGCCCAGCACAGCCTTCTTCACGCCTGGGAGTGGCATGCCTCCATCGGGAGAGATTAACAAATCGACCCAGAACCTCATCAACGCTATGGAGGAGGTGTGTCCCCGACCCCACCCTGATTCCCTCTCTCTCCTACTGACAAGCCCTCACTTGATGTAGAGTATAAAACACCAGATGCTGGCTTACTTCAAACCCCTTCCTCTCTACAGTGTCATTGAGGGATCTTAACTAGTTATTTTTCCATCCTGTGAGCAACATGGACCAGTCATTTTTATTGAGAAAGCAAAGCAAAATGTGTCATTTCCTTCAAAACCTTCTAATTTGATATGACAGGAATCGAATATGTCTAAGAAATGCTTTTTAAAAATACCATTCTTCCTAAAATCACACTCATAGCTGTTCTTATTTGTCCATCCCCTCGTACTTCTTCAATCCCAACAAAGGAGAAAACAAGCAGGTACTTCCTCAGTTTAAATACCACCAAACATTCTAAAACTAAGACTTAGAGGGTGCTTTTGTAGCACTCTTAGAAAATCTAGGCAGGATTTCCTCTACAAAATCTGCCTCCTGCTGCTGGCTATATTATTCTGTCCATATAAGTTTGATTTCCTGAGGCTGACTCACATGCCCTCCACCCTTTGGCAACAGATTGGAAGGGCCACTGTTCAGACTGTAAAGCACACCTGAATACATCTGTCCCAGAAGAGGCAGTGATGCACAGCCCTCACAACTGTGCAGGCCCGGGATGTGCTTGGCTGCCATTTCTTATGAATGAAGGAAGCAAGGAAAACAGCATTTGTGTTTGCTACCTAAATATCTATATCTATATTTATACCTATATCTATATATATATGCATGAAATTAAGAAACATTTTATTGAAGAGGAAATCTTGATAGGATGATAGATGGATAGATAAATAGATAATGATGGGTAACTGTTAGATGGTTGCTAAATAGGGATGTGATAGACAAAGACAGACAGACAGACTGATAGATAGATAGATAGATAGATAGATAGATAGATAGATAGATAGATAGATTGGTAGATAGATTGGTAGATGATAGAGATAGATAGATAGATAGATAGATAGATAGATAGATAGATAGATAGATAGATAGATAGACAGATAGATGGATAAATAGATATCTACTTGCCCAGAGATACCTTTTGTCTTCTCTGACAATGTAGGATGTACTCTCATTTTAAAATTGAAGCAAATGATTACAATGCCATTACTGTGTATACCCTTTTGATTTGAATGAAAGAAATTACTATGAAGAATTATCAACTCATAATGGATAAACATACAGTAGGTAAGTGGTTGTCGGGGCCTATAGTAGGAGAAAAGTAAAGGTGTAGATTAAAAAGAACGTATTTTGGCTGTAAAATGTGTAGGTTTAAGAAGGATGTTTGAAAACTGAGATATGCCAGAGTCAGAGAGGTGGCTCGGCAGCTAAGAACATGGCTGCTCTTACAGAGGACCCTGCTTTAATTCCCAGCATCCTCCTGGTGGCTCACCGTCATCTGTACTTCAGTTCCAGGGACCCAGTGATCTTTTCTGGCCTCTGTAAGGACCAGGCAGGCACATGGTGCAATACACACAGGCAGGCAAAACACTCATACACATAGCATAAAAATAAATAAATCTTCAAGTTTTGTAGAAAGAAAAATGTTGAGATATGTCTTTAGTACTTTGAAATATATTTAAATTTAGTACCATTTTATATGGCAGATATTTTTTAACTGAGCTATTTTATCATAATTAGTGATTAAAAAACCCAATAGGAATGTTTTTAAGATCCATCCGTCTTGTTGAATGGTTACCAATTTAACATTTGTCTAGGTCTGACCTGTCTTGTTGAAATATCTTTTAGCTACATGTGGCTGAATTAAAGATCATTACAGATCTAGTGTGTCATTTGCTCAGCCACACTGTAAATATCCCAGACAAATGTGCCCAGAAGCTTCAGTTTTGAAGAACTTGGATATGAAATATTCCTGTCCCTGGAAAAAGTTCTGTAGAACAATGCTGTTCTCCATGCCCGGACTCATAGTGATGGTCACCCTGAGGTTTCATCTTCTCTCATGTTCATCTCTGAGGATCTTAGTATACTTTCCTCAGTATGAAGTGTCCCTGAAATCTCAGCAAACCTTACATCGGGAGGCAACAGCTGTGACCCTCCAGTTCCTGGGCTGGAGCCATTGCTTGAGTGTCCCTCTGGGGTGTTGCACAACTGCATAGCATAAAGTCTGTCTGCATTCCTCAGAGGCTCAAAATTGGCCTGGATCCAGCTGTCAGTGAGAGCCTGCAGAGACGGTCGGTCGCGAAAGCCAGCAAGAGCAGGGAAGGCCAAGGAAAAGAGGGATTAAGGGCTCATTTACCACTAACCTGGTTCGCCAGTAACCTAGAAAGACAGGACTGCAGTTAATCATCTCAGGACAGAACTCTTTCTGAGCATTAATCAAAAGCAAGGAGGGATTTGAATAAACTCCTTTTAATTCAGTATGTTCTTTATATACTGATGCTATTTAAAACACATTTCAAATTAAGAATTTGGAGCATTCTTCTGAATTTTCTTAACTTACATTTTACAAATAAATAAACAAACAGTTTTATCTCCCCATACATGGCATCATAGCAATCTACTGTGACTCTGAGAAACTTTTAAATAATCAGGTTATACTAACTTGAGGGGAGGTGTGCTTTTCTGAAGAACAACTATAACATGCAAGCTCATAAACGCAATTCAATAGGCCATTCACGGTTTTTATTGAAATATAGAAATATATTGCAAAACTGGGCTTCCAAATGAATATGTACATTCATGTTACCAACTGTCACTTCCTTCTGCTCTTACCTCAACCCAAAAGGTACCGTCTGACTGGGAGAGAGCATCCTTCCAACAGACCAACCAGGCAAGCCCTGATTTGAAGACAAGTCCCCAGAATGGTGCCTCATTCCCTTCCTCTGGAGGATATGGCCAGGGGTCCCTGATAGCCGATGAGGAGTCCCAGGAGTTTGATGACTTGATATTTGCATTAAAAACGGGTATGTACGAAACCCACAAATGACATTAGAGGCAGGCAGTCCTGGGAGGCTACTTCGTGTCTCCTTCCGTGAATGTGCAAAAGCGCCGTCACCCTCAGTACATCCTGAGTCTCATGACCCATTTCGGAGCCCAGTCAAGCCCTAGGAGATTCTGTTCCTAGCATTAAGTATAACGCAGCCTAAAAATAATTTACAACTTGCATTTAAGAAAGAAAACAACGTACTCTAACTAAGTGTAAGTATCTGTGTCCTAAGATCTGGCTAGAACACCAAGACCTTAGTAAGTTACATTCAGTATAAGGAAGCTCACTGAAGGAGTTTACCTCTGATCTGCAAAAAAAGGATGTCATTCATGAGGATGTACTTCATATGCTTTCAGAGGCAATGTAACAAACATTGTATGTGTCTACAGTTTCCAAAATGTGTGCAATCACTTGCAGTATTTCATTGACCTTGTGTGTGAGTGTGTGTGTGTGTGTGTGTGTGTGTGTGTGTGTGTGTTCAGTTCTACTCAATCTGTAACCCTAGTGAATAATTCCTATACACAGAGAAATAAGATCCTAAAGACCCCAGTTCAGTAGCACATCACCTAGAAATGGAGAAAGTGAGAAATCTGATTGAAGGTCACATGCTAGTGGAGAAATCATTAATGAATACCATCCTTTTTAGTGTGTAAATGTCCACATTAGTGGTGGTGTGATCCTTCCATCACTGACAGTACATGAGTGAAACATGGAAGGGATGGTTTCTTTCGGCTCATGACTTTAGAGGTTTCAGCCTGTAGTCAGGTGGCTCCATTGCTTTTGGGCCCATGACAAAGGAGAACTATCAAGGAAGCGCCAGAGAAAAGATGGCCACTTCCTGGTAACCGGAGTATAAAAAGAGTAGCAAGAAGGGGCCAGGGGCAAACGTCCTCTTCAGAGGCATGCCACCAACAGCCTTCTCTTCAGTGCCACCTCCCAGATCTTCATTCAGTACTTGAAAATATCAATGAATTTCACTGCTGACTAGCCAGAGTGAGTCCCCTGACTTGAAAATGACCTCACAAAAACCCTGAAAGGCACACTTTCCTAGGGGACTAGGTCACCTCTCAGTCAGTCAAGGTGGCAATCAAGTTTAGCCATCACAGTAGTATAGGTTAGATACTTAATTTGTCATAACTCTATTGTGAATATTAATCATTCTAGAGTTTTTTCAAGTCCTAAAGAAGTTTTTAAACATTTTCTTTTTCAGAAAAAATTTGAGCTGTTACTATTGTAAAAGTTGCAATGACCATTTTAAAAACCAAGAAGCCAGATTCCCCAAAGAGGAAGTTTTTTTTAATGCTTATTTAAAAATGTTTCATTATAAAATAGCGTGATTTTTCTATGAAGATATATTACTTTGGTAAAACATTTTTGTCCTCACAAAGTAAAATTCTTATATCTTAAGAATGACTTCAAAAACCCAGGGCCTACATCTCATTTTGTATTTCATATCAGAATCTCGTAAGTAAGAGATGGTGAGGTCACAAAGCACATCACTGTCTCCCAGCCGCTCCCTATGCTCACACCCAGAATGTCACACTGCCCTCGAGCACTTTTGAGAAATGACAAATCCTACTGAAATGAGTAAGAACTCACCCCTGTATACAACTGATGCTGATACCCAAATTTCTGCAGAAGGAACTTTCAAAACATGGATGATAGGATGGATGAAAATGTTCAGATTTCATCTGGGACTGGTGGGGAGGAAGTTAGCAGGAGTTAAGGAAGAATAAATAAATAATCAAGGAAGTTGTAGAGTTTGGGGATCAAGGGACGAAGCTACCTCAGTTGAAGAATGTGTAGGGTTTAAACAGGAAAGGAATGGAGGAAGGGCATTACACACTCAAGGAATCTAAGGAAAACTCTCAGTCCAAGCGTGAAGCTTGTTTGTGGAGAGCGGCGTTAGGGTGGAGGACGAACGGTGGACCGAGTAGCCTGAGATAGCCTCACAGGTACTTCACTTGCACTGTCAGTAACTCAGGGCAGTTCTGCAGGTGAATGACAGTGAACACAATCCCCTGCAGGGCGGACTGGGGAAACTACAGATTCACAGTTCAAATGATCATTTTAACAGTTCTAACGCAGTGTAAAAAGACCCACTTTATTGAATGTCACCTTGTATTTCTGTAATATAGTCGGTTGCAATTTCTTTTTGGAAGTGAAGCCCCCTTGCTGGTGTTTAGCACAATGTTAAAATGCTGTTTGTTTGGCAGTCATAAGTAGTTGAGCATTTATAGTGGATCATGGAGGTTTTTTGATACAAAATGACTTTTACAAAAGTATTAATAGTAAATTATAAACAGAAAGACTGGAAATATCTGAGAGTGGGCCAGGGTCATGAGGCTAAGATCTCACATAGAAAAGGTCAATGAGAACAGAAGAGGGCAGTCGCTGAGAAAGAACAGAGGACTGATGGAGACTTGCTTCTCACCTGAGCAAGTGGTACAGAGCTTCCTTAGTGTCTTTGCTGAGGGAAACTGGTGTGTCTTGATGATGAGCATTCCTCCTGAGTATTCATAAGGTTCGAATCTTAGGCAAAGTACCAGGGTAGAAGGTAATTTTTTAAATACATCGAGGCATAGATTTTATTGGTAGCTATGAGGATTGTTAAATTTGAATTAGGAGGGTGGAAGAAGAAAGGAAAATAAATGAAGAGAGAAGTTGAAGAGAATGGGAAGGAAAGAGAAGGGGTGGAGAACAGGAACATACTAGATGATGCTTGCATCTAAGTCGGAAGGGAGGAGGGCCCCACAGAGAAACTCTAGCAAATAAGAAAGGTTGCCAGGCGGTGGTGGCGCACGCCTTTAATCCCAGCACTCGGGAGGCAGAGCCAGGTGGATCTCTGTGAGTTCGAGGCCAGCCTGGGCTACCAAGTGAGTTCCAGGACAGGCGCAAAGCTACACAGAGAAACCCTGTCTCGAAAAACCAAAAAAAAAAAAAAAAAAGAAAGGCAGCTAAAGACAGAAAAGGATTTTAGGGAGAATGAAATGACTAACTACATAGCACACGGAGCAGAGTTGGAACTGAAGGGGTTTACAAATTATGATCTGGACACATTAGGTTCCCTAATGTGTTCTGTGTGCAGTGTCCTTAGATCTTTGTGTCCAAACACAGAAGTGAGATGAATACTTGGAGCATAATTAAATTAGATCTGTGGGCTATATATATAGCAAGTACTGAGTGCATTTGGTTCAGGAATGCATGGAATGGCTTGCTTGGAGATTTAGCTTGGCATTCCTTAGAGTTCCCTAAACTCATTGGGAAAAATATTTAAGAGATCAAAATAACAATCTCTAACATTGGTTCTCTGTATTATTAGAAAAGATTCTATAATAACCAAGCATCAGCCCCTGGACACATTCCAACATAGGATAATGATCAAATAAAGGAGCCGACCACATGCTGTTTATCTACAGCAGAATTCAACATTGACCTAAGGTCTGGATTTGGCCTAACAAAGTGTTTTGCTTAACTCACAAAGCTTTTTAACAGTTTTTGAGCCAATATTAAAATTGTAGAGATACCGTATATAGGTCTAGAAAAAAAAAGGTTCGACAACATGAGCTTCAAAATCATTGAGGTGTTAGCACACAAAGAAATGGACTTGTAATATTTTTATCCACATGTATCATTAACTTTGTTCTTATCTGCCCCATCTCTTCTTCCCTCACAAAGAGTTCCTCCCTCCTCATCTACTTCCATGGCATCATATATATATATATATTCCATCCTCCTTTGTGTTCTCTCCTTTCTGTATACCTCTTCCTTCTCTCTCATTTGTCTGCTTCCACATCATATACATCGACGGACATTTATATCTAGAGTACACATGCAAGAGAAACATGCAATGTTTGTCTTTATTGTTCTGACTTTTTCCACTTTATGTAAGAATCTTGAGTTCTATCCATTTTCCCGTAATATCATTCTTCCTTATAACTGAGTAAAATTCCAATACTTGTATGCACCTCCTTCTCTTTATCGATTTATTTATAGATTAACATCAAGGCTGGTTCCATACTTTGCTATTGTGAGTAGTGCTTCAATAACCATGGATGCACATATAGAAACATGGTGTGCTGACTTAGAGCCCATAACTGGATTGTATGCTAGAAAATTCCTAGGTGGAATACACACTTCCAGCAAAGTGGCAGACTACAACATCAGCGAATAGAAACAAGGAGCCTTGCTATATTCCAGTAATAAAGTTACTGAGGAAAAAAATCCATTCATAGTGGTTTCAAAGTAAATAAACTAATGAAAAAATATATGAATGCAACTAACCAGAGGTAAAGATACTTACAGTGAAAGCTTTAAAACATCAAAAACAAGAGAAAGAAATTGAAGAAGATACTAGAAGATGGAAAAACACCCCAACCTGTGTTCAAGGACTGAAAGAACTAATACTGTGAGAATGACTATGTTACCAAAATAGATGCACAAATTCAAGGCAATCCACACCAAAATTCTAATGGCATTAGATATGAACCATTTTTTAAAAACCCTATTGTCTCCTACCCATGCATATACTGGCATTACTAATTAGACTCAGTGGGTTAAAAAAAAGTACATGAATTTGGGTCGGAGACTGGTAGGAGTTGGAAGGAAGAGAATAGGAGGATGGATTGCATCTAAACAGATTGTATACATATACAAAGTTCTCAAAGAATAAATAAACATATATTTTAATCTTAAAATTCATATGGAATCACAAAGGATATCGAAGAGTCAAAGCATTCCTCAGCAAAAATAGAAATGCTAATGGCTTCACAATACTTGATCTCAAATTACACTACAGAACCATAATAACAAAACCAGCACAAAACTAATGCAACAGACGTATAGACCAGTGGAATAGAATGGATGACCCAGAAATAACTACACACAGCTACAGCCACATAGTATTGACATGTATCAAAATCATACATTGACAAAAAGATAACCTTGTCACCGAATGCTGGGAAAACTAGATGTGTGTATGTAAACAAAACTAGAGCCATATCTTCACCCTGCACCAAAATGAATTCAGAATAAATCGGTGACCTAAATGTAAGACCAGAAGCCACTAGAAGAAAAACTATTCAAGATAGAGTCCTTTCGAGTCAGGCATAGACAAAAGCCATCTAAAATGGACCCAACAACTGACAAATGGATTGGCATGAAATAGAAGCTTCTGCCCAGCAAAGGAAAAGGTTGCCAAAGTGAAGAGATAGCTACAGACTGGCAGAAAATGTTTGTCAACTGTTGGTGGAGTTTCTGTCCCACTCTCAAATAGCAACTCAGAGGCTTATATTAATTACAAATGCTTGGCCAGTAGCTCAGGCTTGCTACTAACTAGCTCTTACAACTTAAACTAACCCATTTATATTACTCTATGTATTGCCTTGTGGCTTTACCTGTCCTCCAGCATGTCTTGCTCCCTCTGCATCTCCTGGAGACTCCTCTGACCCTGTCCTTCTTCCTCCCAGCATTCTCTCTTTGGCTGTCCCACCTATACTTCCTTCCTGACTACCGGCCAGTCAGTTCTTTATTAACTAATGAGAGTAAAACATATTTACAATATACAAAGTTTGTTCCACAGCATTTTTGTAGGTGGAGTTTCCTGTGCTGGCAGCCACTCTCAAATAACCACTCAGAATCTTAATAATAAATGCTCAGTCAATAGCTCAGGCTTATTACTCTTACTCTTATTAGCTCTTACAACTTAAATTAACCCATTTCTATTAATTTTTGTATTGCCATGTGGTTCATGGCTTTACCTGTCCTCCAGCATGTCTTGCTCCCTCTGTGTCTCCTGGACTCCTCTGACTCTACCTCTCTTCCTCCCCGCATTCTCACTTTGGCTGTCCCACCTATACTTCCTGCCTGGCTACTGGCCAGTCAGTTCTTTATTAACAAATGAGAGGAATACATATTTACAGTGTATACAGCAGCCAACTAGACATTAAGTAGATTAATATCTAGCACCTATAAAGAGCTCAAAAAAATTAAATACAAAACTATCATCCAGCCATCAAATGGTCTAATGAACTGATTAGACATTTCTCCAGAGAGGAAACACAAATAGTGAAGAAATATTTGAAAAAAATGTTCAACACCCTCAGCCATCACAGGAATGCCAGTCAAAACTCCTTGATATGGTCTCACCCAGTCAGAATGGCTACAGTCAAGAAAAGATATTTCTTTTCTGAGAAATATCAAACCCAAGTACTATTCCTAAGATGGCTGTCATGATCCATGTCTGCAAACCCCACATTCAGGAAGCACAGACAAGAGAACCATCATTCCAGACCAGCCTAAAGTACACTTTAGGACCCTTTCTCAGAACACAAATATACAAAGACACTTTATTATTTAGTTTATTCAAGGGTTTCTGCATCCTATTGAACTTTAGTTGGTTCATAACTAAAGGGTAAAATTAGAGTTTATTAATGTTTTCTATGTTTTTTTTATCTCAGAAAGGGAATGATCTTTGTATCATTGTCTAACTGGAAAGAAGCCAGATAAATTGTGAGTGGGTCACAAAATCAGAAAACCCCATGTTGAAACCTTAGGAGTTTTCATGCTTTGAGTCTTTGGCAAGGAACTCAGCTTTTCCATTTCCTCATTTACCAAATAATGTGTTTTGTGGCATTAGGAATTGTCTGTGTAAAGCACTGATCAGAGTGGCACAGCCTAGGTCCCCTAAGGTCAGGGATGTAAACTACTAGCTGGGCTCCCTTTATTGTTTGGCTTAAAAGCTAATTTAGGGGCTGGGAGACAGCTCAGTCAGTGAGGTGCTTGCTGTAGAAGCTAGAACCTGAGTTCTGTCCTCAATCCCACATGAAAAGCTAAGCACAGCAGGAAAATGAACTCCAGTGCTGAGAACAAAGACCAGAGGGTGCTGGGACTTGCTGGCCAGCCATTCAAGCCAAATCAGTGAGAAGCCCTGCCTTGAAAAAGAAGGTAGAGAGCTATAGGGGAAGGCACCTAGCATTGACCTCTGGCTACCACATGCACACATGTGTATATGCATACTCCCACACAGGAGTGTATGCACACAATAAATTATATTTTATAAATTCATAATATAGTCTGCTAACACCTGGTTGTTGATTGCACCATGACCATGATGTGACATAGAAGTTAGGGTGGTTTAAATTTGTGCCAAGAGGCCTGCCCAGTCCCAAAGTGATAGAGGTGGGCTCAGAGCTTGGGTTCTGAATACAAACCAAAAACATATACCAAACACCTATCATGCACTAAGTACTTTCTATGAGTGTGAGCCAGAGGAATGACAAGGATGTGATCCAACAGGAAAGGCAGACATTTTGAAAGAGAACCATGGTGTTTCTACAGGCATTAAGGGCAACACTTGAACTGATGCCCATAGCGAGGCACAGGCAGCAAGATGAAGAAGGCAGAGAACGTGGTACAGAAAGGGAAGGACACCAGACCCTGCAAAAAGGGAAGGTCATCCAGACCCTGCAGCTTTTATATCCATCTCCTGTAGAGGTCCCCAGTACCTAAATAGTGGGAGAAGAGACATGAGAGAAAACAGACCCGGTCTGGAAAGAGCTCCAGGGTCTGAGCAGGGGTGGGCAGTTTATGTGATACAGAAATACAGGAAGGAATAAGGCAGAGGTGTGAAGGACAAAATCAGGAGAGGCAGGGCTTGGCTAGAAGGAGTGCTCATGGGCTCCTGGTTCTTTCTCCGCACAGATTATTCTGAAGCTAAGCAGCCTCCTTCCCCTAGCTACCAGCGGAAGACTTGGCAAGGACATCAGGGCTTGACACCCTTTCCACAAAGCTGAGTGGCCAGGAGAGGGGGAAGCACAGAGAGTTGATACCTGGCCATTGGTAGCAGCACACTCTGTGGCCACATCTGTATTGTCTCCCTCACTGTGTGCATGTGTGTGTGCCTGTGCGTGTGTGGAGACAAAGCACAAGAGTACATCCAGTTCCCACATTACAGAGGAAAAGAACCCACTATAGTTATAAATTATGTGTGCTGGGGAGGGGAGAGTAGTGCCTCATAGAAAATCTTCAAAACAGGGGTTTGAGGGGGTGCATGCTATTAAGAACAGCCAACTTCCTGGGTTTCCCATGAGAATGTTTGGCACTGTGTTATTTGCGTGTCCTTGTCTTGGGCTCAGTCTTCAGGGCCAGTTTCCTCAGGGCCCTGATAGGATGCCATGTGTCCTCCCCCTGCAAGCCTGCCTTTCTTCTCAGACTAAGGGCCAACACTGAGCTTCCCCCAGGGGGCTACCGGACTCAGTGGAGTTCCAAGGGTTGGTGGATATGTTCTCTACCTCACTGATTTTCTACCCTGCCTGATTTTCTGTTTTGGTAAACCCTTCATTGATAAACCCTGTTCTCTACTGCACCTGCCTATCACACGGCAACAAGAAAAATAAAGAAAGCCAAGTGTGGCAGCTCTCCCCTGTAATCTCAGCACGCAGGCCTCATGAGGCAAGAGATTGGCTGTAAATTTAAGGCCGGCCTGGACTACGCAGTGAGAAGCTGTCTCCAAATAAAATGAAAATATGAGAAACCCAACGTTTTATCTTTGGAAATCAGTTTCTACCTTTAAAAGCTACAAAAGTAGCTTCACTTTAAATTATAATTCCATAATTTTAAGGCATTTGTTGTTTATTCCAAATAAATGGCCCAGACTTTTACTAACATAGAAATAAGATGTTTTGGTTTAATGTAACTAAGTCATTAAGAATTTACTGTGCGAATAGCGTGGACTTATGTCTGCTCATCTTCCATTCCAGGTGCTGGTCTCAGTGTCAGTGACAACGAGTCTGGTCAAGGCAGCCAGGAGGGAGGAACCTTGGCCGACTCCCAGATTGTGGAGCTCAGGAGGATACCCATCGCTGATACCCACCTCTGAGAGCCTCGCTGGCACTAACCGTCGGAAAGAGGAGCATTTTCCTGTTTGCCTTGGCTTCTGTGCTAAACTCTGTAAGCACTCACAGCCATGTAGTAGTGGTGTGTCAGTCACACGGAATGAATAACCCAGAAGTGATTGTTATGGTTGGAATATACATTGCTTAGTATTTGTGAAACTTAAGAAGTGACTGTTATGATAAAAGATCAGAGCATTCCTGTAAGTTACAAGGATACACATAGTCCAAAACTATTAGTTGTTTCTTAGTCATCCTAACTTGGCTAACATTGTTTAATGAAAATAATAATCAATAAAAGCAATAGAATCCAGTTGGTATCATCCAGACTCCTTATTTATGAATAAATGTGCATGGGCAAAAAGACTAAATGCGTATCTAGATGATATCAGACACCTGTCTCTTCTAGCAGTGGTTAAAAGGGATACACTTCTCTCCATCTAGACTTTGAGTCCTGGAAACTGTAATGTGTGGTCTGTGAAGGATTCTGCACGTGAGTGTGGATGGGGCAGTGAGGTTGCGATGGCCTTTTTCATCAGCAAGATAGATTTCTGCTCTCAACAAACTTAAGGTTCTGAACACTTTCCAGAATGAATGTTCTGTCCCCAGTTAAAAATAACTCCGCCGCACTTGTTCACGAACCTGAGAGGAGGTTCATTCAAACAGTACAGTTTGTTTTGGAGAACATTTTCTTGGTTTGTGATTTTTAGTCTTTCTTTGTCTTGGAATGAGAAATCAGGAAATCTCTCCCAGAACACTGTTGTAGTCAAGATGATTTCATTGACTGTGTTTCCAGAAGACATGCTGGAAATAGAACAAAGTTGCTCTGAGGAATGCTTTGTGACCTTTAGTTTGGAGTTCTTACTTATTTTTTGAGAAAACTAAGCATCATCCCAAAGGAAAATGTGACATTATTTTAAAATTTGAAGAAACTTTGTTCTGTTAATGATTTCTGTTGAAGCTCCAATTACAGCACCAGCGTGCTCCTTCTGGGCATCAAGTATGGTGTATGTGATATGAAACCCGTGTGGCACTATTTCTCTTGATTGTCCTTTGTTTTCCTTTCTTCTCAAAGCCCCCCACATTCTTCTTACAGTGAGCTCTGACAAGCAGATTGTCTCATAAATAGAAGACAAAAGCTCCACAACAAAATCAAGGAGGGTATGAGGCAGAGGCGACATCTTCGGTTGACTTACAGTCCCTTTTAGGAACTTCAGAAAACATGGTACTTAAACTAAAGTTCCCTGAAGTGACAAGTTTATGACCTGGAGCATTGCCCAGCTGTCTGTCTCACGACAGTATGAAAGCAACTGCCAAATACAGTTTAAATACATAAACCAGTAGGAGAGATGCTCCAAGTTAATGATCATTTCAATGTTACTGGACTTTATTGAATTTGGCATTGGGCAATGAGGGCTCAACATCGCTAATCCACCACTCATAGCGACATTTTCTATCAGGTCCCTAGAACTCAAACTCTCTCCAAAGGCAATTACCAGTAACTATTTTCATTTCGACATGCTCTCAGATTTGGAAAAACATAGATATGTTATATATGTGCGTGTATGTATAAATGATATGAAGTGATGGTTGAACAACATGGCAAATTATACTATGGATGTCACCAGTGCTGCTGAATTCTGCTTTAATGGATTATGTGTCAATTTGACACTGGAGAGTGGGGAAGGGAGGGAGAGGGAGCAGGGAAGGAAAGAGGGAGGAAGAGAGAGAGAGAATAGCTCCATTGTGATACTCCTGACTCTTGGTCGTTGCCCACAGTTGAGCATGAGTCTTTAATATAATAGAAGTACAGAAACATAGCTTTCAGACACCAGGTGTCAGGACACAGAAGTCTCATATGACAATGGCAGCAGCCATTCACAGTGTGCTTCGTCCCAGCACAGTCTGAGCTGAGACCTGTGGGCCGAGCACCTGTTGGAAGAGGCAAATCAAAGTACAGGTGAGCGTGAACACTGAGAGACAGAGACTCTCTCCCCTGTCACCTACAGCCTTCCTCTTTCACATTTTATCCCCATTTCCTTAACAGTTTTATTGAGATAAAATTCACATTCTGCAAAAGCTCATTCATTGGAAACATGTAATTTAGTGACACTTGGTATACTTTATTATGGTTCTAATAAAATGTGCTAGTACATCAGAGCACTGAATTTGTCTCATGACCTGTCCAAAGTGGAGAACTCAGTAGCGTTGATGACATTCACAATGGCATTTTAATGTTACACAACCATCACTTCTTTTTCCAAAACATCTGCAGCACTTTAAACCAGATGTATTCCCCATCTCTCTCACACTTTCTTTCCTCTGCTAAAAGATGGGTAGCATCTCTGTGGCAGCGCCTCTGCTGCTAGGGTGCAGCAAGCTTTCTTGTTGGACTATCTTTGAACCACTAGCCTGCAAATAATGACCCAGAGTCTTATTATTAGTTATTAAAGCTTGGCCTTAGCTCAGGTTTTTTCCCAACTAGCTGTTTTTACTTAATTAGTCCATATTTTTTAATCTACATTATCCCACGTGGCTCTGTTACCTCTTCTTAGTATGGCACATCAGACTTGCTCTCAGTCTGCTGGCAAAATCGGGCACCTAGATTCCTCCCCAGAAATCTTGCCTATCTGCTCCTGCCTAGCTTTTTGTCATTCAGCTTTTTATTACACCAGTCACGGCAACACACCTTCACACACTGTACAAACATTCACAACACTGGGGTTTGAGATTTAACTACCAGCACCCACATCTTTTGAAGTTTTGCACTTTGGAATATTAAAATGGGAAAGTCTTTTCCTAATTTGGATGCAAGTGAAGAAAGGAATGAAATGTGGCGGAGCCAGTGACGACACAGGTGGAGTCCTTACTTACACCGCAAGAGACGGTGAGCGATGAAACCCCCCTTAAACAGCACAGACACCCTCCCTTTGCGTGTGTTAGCAGGGTGAGTCCAGACGTTATAGCATTTCTCCTGTCTCCCAGTTCTGACCACAGCTGCTCAAACACACTGGAGAGAAACTTTAGGAATGTGACTCCCCAAGCATTTCCCCGTGTGCTGCACTTGAGAGTCTTTGCTTTTAGCCCTGAGGAGTCTAGGTACTTCTGTGTGGAGGTAGGTTTCAGTCAGATAAGGAAATGTTGTTGACCTTCCTAGAGTGGCTGGGTGCCAGAGGAGGTGTCCCCTAGACAGCTTGACCTGGAAGAAAGAACGTTCAGTGGCCCTCCATGTCTTCTATTTTAATGGTTGTGGGCATTGACTCCATCTTGCCAAGCTTCCCCAGCAAAAAACAGTACAACACAGCAACATGGGTGAAGAACCTCATGCCCAAGAGTTGTGCTGAAGGAAGGGCTGGACTGACCAAGCGAGGTTAGGCTTCTGCCAGGCCTGGAGTTTCTTACAGTTCTTCACTGATCAATGGACTAAAGTACAGTTCAGATGAGTGATATTTTACTGATAAACTTAGTTGTACACCGACCTTATTCACACTCAGTTTTTCTCACTTGACTAAATTGTATCCCATAAAATTCCATATAACAGTTTTTATGAAAGAACTTACTTTTATGAAAATTTAGAAAATCCCAGATGCCTTTAAGCTGCCACACACACTAGCTAGCACATACACACCACTGAATGCAAGTATTCTCTCCCTCAGAGGTCTGTGGTCTGCCACTTATTCAAATAACCTTGACAAGTCAGGCAACTACCTTAACTGGGACTTTACTCGACTCTCTCTCCATTTGCTTAAAACCAGAATTGTTTCCTACGAATTACGTGGAGAGAGAACACCAAGCCAAGGGCAAAGGACAGCAAATGTCATTTGCCCTTCATATCTCCTCACCATTCTATAACCTATTAGTCACCAGTAGGGAAATGCGCACAAATCTACAACCTTCCTACTCATCATGCCCCTCAGTGAGAGGCTCCAGAGGTGTGTGTGTGTCGTCTGTGGTTGATCCATGCTGCCTGTGCCCAAAACATCACACTCCACATTAGATAACATACTATTTTAAATCAGTGAATCCAGACAGCATACACAATCCCCAGGGCAATAACTCTCCTGTTCATGATCAAGCAACGCTCTGTTGCACGGTGTTAGGAGCAAACGATGATTCTCATCAAGACCTTCCCGTGTCCAGCCGCATTTCATTCCTCAAAACGATCTAAAATATCAACATCCAGCAGCCACCAAGATAAAGACTAACGGGGAAGTAGGCCTTCCTTTTGGCAAAGGACAAATATTTGGAAAAGCACCTAAATTTTTTTTAAGTTATTTTCAATTCAGAAAAAGTAAATAAAATTCTAATCACAGTTGACTGCTTCAGACTATCGCTTGTCAGCTACTGGAACTAAAGGTTAATTTAAATAAACTCTCTTCATCCCCTGTCGTTCCTCTTGCTTTAAAAAAAAAAAAGATTGGTTTGTTGATTTAACTTGGTGTGCATGGGTATTCTGCCTGGGCCTGTGTTTGTGTGCCGTGTGCATGCAGTGCCCACCGAGCAGCACTGGGTCCTTGGGCTGGAGTTAGGGATGGGTTTTAGCCGCTATTTTGATGCTGCAAAACAAACTCGGGTCCTCTGCAAGAAGAGCAAATATAAGCCACCTCCCCAGCCCCGTTCCTCTTCCTGTTCCTCTTCCTGTTCCTCTTCCTGTTCCTCTTCCTGTTCTTCGTGTTCGACACCTCTGTTGTTTTTGCTGTAAACTACTGTTAAGGAATGGAAATGTGTGTTTAATCCTGTACAAAGTTCCCTGGAAAGACTGCTCACACAGTAAAAACAAAAGGAAAAACTTGAGGTCTTGCTTCCCTTCACTCTGTGCTCATTTTCTCTTTTTCATACTTATTTTAAAAAAGATTTACGAGAAGATCTTATAGTTTTAAAGATTTTTTTTTTTTTTTTTGTAAATGTGAGTGTGTGTGTTTCTGTGTGTGCGCCTGTGTGTGTGTGAGTGCCGCCTGGGTGCAGGTACTGGGGAGGACCAGAGGGGATGTGGAATCCCATGGAGCTGGAGTTACAGGCAGTACTAAGCTGCTCAAAGTGGGGGCTGGGCACCAAACTCTGGTTCTCTGGAGAAGCAGAAAGGCATCTATCTCTCCAGCCCTCAAATCATAGTCCACATATATCCTTCACACTGTGTGGAAAATGCAGACATTTGTTTGGATTTTCAACAAACACAAAGATCAAGCTCTCTTTTGTTAGTGATCCTGTATGAAGCACCTTCCTGTCTAAGAACAGAGGGAGCTGTGTGAGGTATGGCAAGACACTTGGTCTTTGTAAGATGCCTTGAGCAGGAAGAAGGAAACGACATAATTC